TGCACTCGAGAAAATTGAGGGGCAAAATGGCGCTATAGAATGCGGGCATCACGTCTCCTCGACGTGGAGAATGTCCCGGATGCATGCTGCCCTTCAGACAGGCTCTCCAAAGGGTGTGATCCATTGAAATACATGGAGCAATGACTATAAGCCTCCTCATACGGATATGTAAAGGTGCTCTAGTGCCAAACTTGCAGTGTGTGTATGTGGCACTTCGACCTGTGAAAGCGCGTCGCTTGATCTGAAATTCCGCTTTGGCGAGGAGTTTCACATGGAGACATTGATGAATATTCCCGAATAGCTTGAAAACGCAATCGAGCAAAAACGTATCCAATTATCGTGACGTGTTTCATCTGGGGGTGCATCGTTGCAATGAAGATGTCTCTAACGAAGCGCTTTCGGATAGGAAGCGAAATTGTTGGAGGACGGCATGCGAAGTACCTTGTGACGGGAGCGGCCGGGGCGGCTTCTGCTACCAACGCTTCGTATATTTGGCTATTTGGCGGAGTGTTGTTTTGCGCAGCGGTTGACGGCGGCGAGAGCGGAGGTTGTCGGCCAGCGGGGCGACCGGATGACGCCAGTGCGTTCTACCGTAGTGGATATATTGCGCTAATGACGGTGACGTTGCTTGGCTATTCTGCACTGTGCTGACAGGGCTGTCTCTGCTGATGGCTGCTTCGGATGGTTGTTTTGGGTGTTGGCGATTGACAGAAGGTGTTGGCAGCAGGCTGTCGACATCATGGGATGTGTACGGACGGAAGTCGTTTGACATATGACTGTTGGGCAGTGAATTAATTCTATTATTGGAGTGTGCTTCGCTGAGCTGCAATATGACCAAGTGGTGTTGCGGCATGGTCAAGTATAGTGTTGAGGCGCTCGCTGGCGGAGGCGCTGGCCAATGCTTAGGTTGCTGTCTTCTATATGAAGTGTAAAAGCTTGACTTGATAGACCCCAATCACGGAAGCTGCAGCTTCCGCAATCAAAATTGTGTAAGCAAAATTTCTCCTCACTTCTTCATGCGACAGGACCGCAGGCGTAGTGTCGAGGCTTGTTGTATTGCGGAATGTAGTATTGTTCCTCACCATGAGGGCTTGTGCTTGAATTTTGTATGTTGATGTGGCTTGAGAGTAGATGCTGAATTATGACAAGTATTCAGGGGTGTTGTATGTAGCTTGTGTAGTGTGTGAGGTGCTGGTGGTGTCATCGGCGCATCTCGAGGTAAGAATGCTTGGCATGCCACTCCGCCAAGTCGTTCGAGGTTGGAGAACCGTGCGTACATGCCACTGTCTTGTCCAAATATGCGTCGAAAGTGTGCTTGAATGTGAAGCCATATGTAGGCATGATTTTCAGCGTCGAGTGCTGTCGGGTCATGAAATGCTTCGTTGTACAGCAGAGTGTTACGTTGAAGCCAGAGTTGTTGAAAGCAGATAACCCGGATAAAATGAAAGAACAATGATGTTCTCTTGAGATTGTGCCTGAATTCGTTGTCGAGTTGGATGGAATCGGTGAAAAGGATGTCCTGCCATTGCAAGCGCCCGCATAGGCCATTGAACGGGAGTAAGGTTGTCAAACACGTTGAGCATGAGGGCAACACCAGAACAAATGCTGGGCGTCTTCGAGTGCGTCACAACCACGAACACAGAGGGTGGTGTCGTTGCGCCATGCATACTTGTAGAGGAAGCCGAGTGAATTGATTTGTAAGCAAAATTTCACATCACTGAAGATGGGAAGAAGGAGCGTTCATGCTGCCATACAGTGGTAGTTTGACAGTGCGGTGGATGGCGACCGTCGTCAAAGGGAGCAAGGGTGCACGTGGTGGCATATTGTGACAGGTTGGCAGTGATGCCGTGGCGGAAAGACGACGGTCAACAGAAGAAGGGTTGTCAGCTTGGCATGCACGCATTGCTGCAGCAAAATCAGTCTCCTTTGGACGACAACGAACGCAGGAGTGCGTCGTGTACCGAAACACGCCAGTTTTCATCAACTTCCTCTTTGTCCTGGCCGGCTGCAGATGCAGGTTTAAGTGCTTGATGGCCGGCGGATATCAGGGTGGTCGGTGTGAGATTGAGTTTGGCACGATCATCCTTGTTCAGTCGTCCAGTAGGTCCAGAGGCCCATAGGAGCTTGGCCACTAAAGTGCGTGGCCCTAGGGACAACAACGCGATTGGGGGATTAAAGAGTATAGTGGTTACTGAGGTTCCTGAGAAGCTTGACCACTCACTTTCATGACCCTAGGTGCAACAACCCGACCGGCAATGGCGCGAGAAAATGGTTGAGGGTGGGTAAGCCAGCCAGCGCCGTGTCGTGTGCCTGAACGAGCGGGATCGGCAGTTGCGATGTGCGACACAGGAATCTCGGCAGACGATTTTATAATAGAGACTGTCATGGGTTCGAGATTTGATGGGATTGGTGGGGCCAGGGCACAAGGTGGGTACTTCTGGTTTGATCGGGTTACCAGTGGGACTGTGCAGGAGCGAGCAAATTCAAAGTTGCAAATCTCTTCGGATCCTCTCATTACAACGTCGAATCAATTTATTGATTTTATATTTATGACTTTGCTTTATTGATCCTTCTCATACTTCTACGCGGAAATTCTATACGAGAATAGGACACAGAGTCACAAAAGTACAGACTGTACATGTGAATGCCTGGTTGAAATTTGGTTAAAAAAACAAATAAATTTGAGTCGATTTTTGGTCCATAAGATGGGATATTACGTTTGGAACATATCGTCTATTCGAATTCAACGATAACCTCGTCCACTTTGAGGGCGGCTCCCGCAGGGTGCAGTACAGCCTTGATTTTCCCTACTTCCAGTTGTCAATGGTCCATTGTGCTGCAACCACCACGGTACCTTTCTTGGACGCTCGAATGACGTTTTGCATCTTCATGGCTTCAACGACCGCCACTTCCTGGCCAATTTGAACCGTGTCACCGACTTGGACAGCAACTGACACCAAAAGCCCTGCAAAAACGAAGTCAGACGACATGGTATCGTTGGCCAATGTGCATACCAGGCATAGGACAAAGCACGAATCGACTCAAGTCCACCTTGGGCTTGGGCTTCATGTGCACCGACAGTTCGTGCTCCTTGGGCGATCGCACAATCTACCGACGCCGTCAAAATTGAGCCAATTGCGTTCGCGGGCTTCGTTGGAAGTTACGTACCACGTCGTGGATGGCGCCGTGGTGCTGGATCTTGAACCCTTCCGGAAGCTTCTTGAGCACTTGCAGCGCTCGTTGCTTTGATGAAATTTCGGCGCTGAACAACGGGAGCTTGGGCGACCAGTCGAAATCGTTGACAACGACCCAACCGGACGTGCCATCCACACTCGCGTATATAGTGGAGCCGACGGCAACCGCACGCACGGCATGCGCTTGGCCAAACGGACCGTCCGTACTCACAAACACATGCGAACCTATAGCATGACTCGATGAGACCATTGTCCGAGAGCAATTCCTCCGCAACGCACCAACAGTTGCCGGTAGTTCGTTCAACCACGACAATACGTCCAACGACGAAGCATTTTCGACTTCGAGCGAGACCACTACAGCGCATATTTTCTGTTACCACAGCCTGAATTTATCGTAGAATCATCTTACCGCCTTGGAAAAGCGTAGGCAACTGGGTCACTGTCACGTTGCTTCGGGTAGTCCAGACTTGCACCGCGGTCTTCTTGGCGGTCGGCAATGCCTTGAAGTGCATGAGAGCCCCCGCCACGATCATTTCGTTCGTTTGCGCAGGGTTGAGCTTGACTCCGGAGAAACCTTCGGGATATTCTTCTGCGATGAACTTGGTCGTGATGTTGCCTGACTCAAAGCGCGGATGGCGGTACACGTCCTGCATGAACGCCATGTTGTTGCCCGGGCCACGGATCACATAGTGGTCCAATGCAAACTTCATTCGCTCCAAGCACTCTTTGCGGTCCTGATGGGAACGGTTAGCTACCTTTGCAGAAAGCGAGCCAAGTTGTGTACCTTGCCGTGGGTAACCAACTTGGAAATCATCGGGTCGTAGTGCATGCTGATATCGCTTCCTTCCGATACACCCGAATCGACGCGGACACCAGGAAGGTGGTGAGGTTCTTGATAAGTCAGCAAGCGCCCAATGGATGGCAAAAACCCGCGGAGTGGGTCTTCAGCGTATACGCGGGATTCCATGGCCCAACCTAGCCTAATCGTTTGGCCACCCCTTTCTCGGGATTGAAGGTTGTTTAGGTACCATAGATCGGTAAAGGACCCGACGTCAAGTGGGCGGGCAGAGCGTGACCCGCTGCAATTCGAAGCATTTGCTCGACCAAATCGACCTTGGTGATGAGCTCTGTGACTGGGTGTTCAACCTAGTCCCAGCAAAAATCAGTCAGCTGCTCCAAACGATGAAGGTGTGGTCATACTTGGAGACGAGTGTTCATTTCCAAAAAGTAAAAGTTCTTGTGCTTGTCGCAGAGGAACTCCACCGTACCGGCCGACGTGTACCCGACTTTCTTGGCCAGCATCACAGCTTGTTCACTACAATTGAAGGGTGAGATTCGGCTGAGAAGAATGGAGGGTAAGCTAATATGGTTGGTACCCCATGGCGCGGCGCGTGGCATCGTCCAAGAGCATACTGGGCGCTTCTTCAATCACCTTTTGGTTGCGGCGCTGAATGGAGCATTCACGTTCAGGAAACGGGACAAAGTTGCCGTGCTTGTCGGCCAAGAGCTGAATTTCAATGTGTCGCGGGTCTTCGATAAATTTTTCAATGAACATGCGGTCGTCCCCGAACGAGTTGGCCGCTTCTTCCTTGGACAAACGGTACCCTTCGCGCACTTCGGCGTCGTTGTACGCGACGCGCATACCCTTGCCACCTCCACCGGCACTCGCCTTCACCATGACTGCAATCGTGCCAAATTACAATTGTACCAACAACGCGCAAAGGTTTGGACATGGATGGTACCTGGGTATCCAATGTCGCGAGCAACCTTGACAGCTTCCTCTTCATCTTGGATCACGCCTTGATATCCCGGAATTGTGTTGACCTGGAAGGGTGCGTCAGTCACACATGACAATGGGAACAATATTCTTACTCCGGCGTCGATAGCAATTTGCTTGGACTCGATCTTATCCCCCATCGCTTCAATCGCATGAAATCCAGGTCCAATAAATGTCACACCAGCTTTGTCCAAAGCTTCGCAAAACAACTTGTTCTCCGACAAAAAGCCGTAGCCAGGGTGGACCTTCGTGAAAAAAATTTAGTCGAGGCCACAGATCAAATGGGTTCACTTACCGCTTGAGCGCCTGTTTGACGAACGGCGTCCATGATGCGGTCAATGTTGAGGTAACTGGACGCAGATTTGGCAGGACTAAGCATATTGCGCTTCGTTAGGACTCGAGTTTGATTGCAATTTGCAACAATACCCGACGCAGACAGCTTCGTCTGCAAGGCGCACATGCACAGAGTTCACATCAGGTTCCGAGTACACAGCCACAGTCTTGATTCCTGCGAATTGCTTGGATGAGGTGCGATGACGGGAGGAGACCATCGGCATGGGTACCAAGGCGGCGACACGTGCGGATGACACGGCACGCAATTTCCCCACGGTTGGCGATGAGAACCTTGTCAAAGAGCTTTTCTTTGGTGGCCGTGGAAGAGAACGATGCCACGCGCTGTTGGAGTGGACCCAGCGCACGACGTTGGAATCGAAGCATGATTAAGTGATCCAAATCGAAAGTGACAGCCAGGTGGTCTACGGTGGAGGTCATTATCACACCATTTAAGTGCGTCCCTGGCTTTAACAACCTATTTGGCGATTCACCCTTCCATTCGCCACAATAAGGAATAGAATATTCGAGCAATCTTCGTCAAGTCAGGGATAGAACTTAAGTGTGCTAGCCTGAGGAATTTCATAGACAATATGCCCCTCAGTAGTGACAACTACAAGGTGTTTTCCCAAGAATTTCCGACAAATTTGACTGATTTGGCTCTTAAAGAGAGGTGTCAGGCAGTGGCGAACTGCCAAATCACCACATGAGCAGGAGTTGCTCTGTGGGGATACCATGCTCCTGTCGGGTCCATGCAGCAACGACATGACACTCCCCAACGACATCTTTCAACACAGTCGAGCGTGTGCTCATGAATTAGAGCGGCTCCGTCTTCGCGAAAGCACCGGCGATTCCACTTGTCAAATGGCATCACACTGACCATGCAATTTCCGCTGCGCTTGGCCGGATACGAGGGCAACACACGACGGGAGAATGGCTCACCAATCGATATATACTGCACCGTCCCCAAGAGAGAGAATGTACAACGAATACTTGGTATCTAATAGAAATGTGGTGTTTTCATTTGCTATCCTCGCCAACGGCTATTGCCTCATCGCCGAATTATCCACGCAAGGTCACATGTCGAGACGAGCGGCCATGGCAGCTTCAGTCGTGGGCCGCACTTGTGCGGGCAGTTCAACCGAGAGCTCATTGCGACTGCAGTACTGTGATTGGACATCCGGTTGAAGCTGAAACTTTACGTACGAGGTGCATCGAAGGGAAAGGAAAATCCCCAGGAATTCATCGTACAGTAGTACTACTGTCTGTTTGAAGTAAGTTTGGGCACTCTTACATTCATTACATAGGATCGCAGTTTGGCAAATCAAAAATTCTTTGGCGATACCACATGTCATTGTTGAAAATTATTGGTTGTGTATTTGGACAAAAAGGATATTTTTAAGCCTAACCAAGATGAATTTGGTATGAAATTTAAAGAAAAGGGCGCTAATCAACCACCTAAAAATAAATAGAAGTTAAAGCATTAATAACATATTTGAATATTCTCCTAAAAAAGCAAAACCCATTATGGGCTTTTTGATACTTTAACTTCTTCATTTCATTCAATTTTGGAAAAGAACTGATTTCAAAATTTGCATTGATAGTTTATAAATATCAGCTGGTAACTAGGAATTTGGCCATAGGGGTGACCGAGTTATAAACTAACGCTTGTATTGACCTTTATCCACGTTCATCCGCCAGACACGTTTGCCCCCGACGCTTTCCCACCAGAAATGCATTTTATCCGGAAACATTGTTGTTAGGTCGAAGTTACAACACTGCCATGGGACAACGATCAAGTCGCTTGAACTACGCAAACGAATTGAACGAAGAGACGTTGTCGTTTTTCATGATCGGTGGAATATACATGAAAATGGCCCCTCATGTCTCTACGCTAATTTCATCTATGCGAACAATTTTGGTTATAACTGAGTTTACAAAGTATGCTAAAGGAAGTACAAGATCCACCGTCTTCAGAAGGCAAAGTCACGTTGCTAGTTGAATGAGAGCAACAATTCAAAACGAGAAACATGATAAGAATCGTACCATTGCAATTGACACATTCATATTCAGCATGCAATGTGCTGTTTCGCTACAAGGACCGCTGGAGAACTTAACAACCCGTATACACCGTGGTTCCATTCCATCCTCGGCGGTGTAGTCTCCGTAGAGAGACACTGAATAAAGTAGAGCAGTCTAAAGCACCCGCCATTCCCCCAGTGCCCGCCGCCTTGGAATCAAACTTTTTTGGCACCGTACCATAATGAAATTGACAGTGTGGACATTCCAAAATACTTTCTCTTATATTTCAAATTTCGTAACAGTTTGAAAAAAGGTTTCACTCCAACTTGGCCACGTGAAATGTTATAGATGACGTGCACCATACTTCCTCTGTTCACGACTACATTGAAGAACGGAAAAATGTCCCCATGGTACTGACAAGTTTTCATGAAATTTGTATTGCCAATAAAATTACCCTCAACGAGACTTGACAGTATTAGTATTCAAGCAAGTTGAAGTGACATATCCACGATGATCACTCAATGGCACCCACGACCATGACGATCTTGCAACAAATACTTACAATTAGTAAATAGTTGTGGGTGGCGAAATATTAACCGGATATTTGATCGAGTCACGAAACTATTTGTATCGCACGAGTTTCGGAATCCATGTATTAGTCACTTGAGCTTTGTATTCAAGCCAAACCAACTTGCGAATAGTTCGAGATCACGAAACATCGTCGAAATTCATTATCCGTAAGAAATTGGCCAATCAGAGTCTTTAAGCAAGATGTGTTTCGTCATTTCGGAACACCATGATCCACGAGGAGGATGCGGAAGACGAGGCAAGCGATACGGGCAGCCACATCATGCAGCTCCGAAATCGTGAGTAGAACTCGAACTCAATACAATGCCATGCACACTCGCTTCAAGCGATGGTTGACTGCGAACAGCCCATCGCTCGTTCTTGGTGGCGAGACATGCCTACCCTTATTACCAGCAAGTGTGTGTCCAGCAAGTGTGTGTCCAGCAAGTGTGTGTCCAGCAAGTGTGTGTCAGGCCTACTTGACGTTCATCTCTGTCAAACGAGACTCCTCGGTAAGGAGCTCACCCCCCGTCGCCACAACTCGTACTCAACAATCAACGGGTACAAGAGTGCCATGAAGTTTCTGTACACTGAACGAAAGTGTGATGTCTCCAGCGAGTTGGAATCAACTCTTACGCGTACGCTGTAGTACTGTTTGTGTGATCTTATGTGCTCGTAGAGTTTGCCAATGGATACAAGCGGCAGGTTGCTCAACTGAAAGAGAATGGGACGATCTCTATGGCAGAGGGCAAAAGTCCGATCAGCCGTGAAGGTATGTTCGTGTTTTGATTTATATTCTGAAGTGTGAATTTTTGGTTTTATCTACTTGGCTCACAAATCAGTTGCGAACGCGAAGCACGCAGCGCAATTTGCATGTGTTCACCCGTTCTTGCTCCTCTCATGGAATCTCATGGCGTGTTCTGCGTCCATTGCATCGATTAGGTTTGACCACATCACGTGGGAAGGTAGGTTTGTCGTTTTCTCTTATTGCTTTGACAGGTTTATGATGTCTTACTCGACTAGGCGATGCAATGTTGGTCAAATTTGGGCGAATGAAGAATGACCAGGATGGCTCGACGTGCTATCCCAAGCACGTTTATGCCAATCCAATTGATCCTTCCATTTGCGCTGTGTTGAGGTA